TTCCAATATTTAATCTATTATTACTTGAAACTTATTAAAACTTACGAATTCTGGTTGCTTGTGTCTCATTTAATGAGCTTCTCTTCTAATTTGGAGAGGTAAGACTTACCAAAATCTGTTATTTTTAATAAATTTTAACTAATAATAAAGAGTATTTCTAGAGATGTTCAATAATGTGATATATTTTGCTTACATACTACATCAAATCCATTACATACTATATTTTGCTTGTAAAACTAACTTACAAGCTCGTTGGAAAACTTATAAGGTAGTATAAGTTAAAAACTAAAATCATTTAACTCTAGATATTTTGAAATAAAATTTAACTCTAGAGATATTTTGAAATAACTATAAAGCTAAATTATTGCTTCGAATCATTTAACTCCAGATATTTTGGAATAAAATTTAGATTTTATTAATTAAAATTATTTTCATTTGTCTTGATAAATTAGGAACTTCTTTTTTATATAAAAATTGAAGATAATATCTTTTTTTTTTTTTGCTTAATCCACTAAATAAATAAAAATTGTTCCAAGTGAGTGGAAGATATGATAAATAGGCAAACTTTGTTCTCCTTTCCCCTCGCTTACAATCATCCATCCCAACACAATTTAGTTATTACTGTTCCGGCAAAAATGTTTTCAACAGAAGCCGGAGTTACAAACTTGATACCAAAAATATTTTCAATTTATATACTCTACTCAATCAACCAAAAACTTATACAAGTTAAAAACACTTTTAAACAAAAAATTTAAATAATGAATATTTTTCAATAGAATTCTCAAAAATATTTCTAAACTTATCCAAATAGTCTTTAAGCCAGATTCGCTGATATTTGTCATTTATCCTCTCTCTTTGATTTACAATGGTTTCCTATAAAATTGCTTCATCTCTTGTAACTTGCTCTTTTCAAGATTTATTTTCGACGGGCCATATTTAACTTACTATAAATAGCCCAAATTGTTTTTACTTAGGTGAACTTAGATAAAAAAAAATTACTCTAAAACTTTGGGATTAATATAAAATATAAATTGACTAGTCAAATAACTTCTATAAACAAACAAGCAGCGAGTTAAATATAAATAATTTTTCAATACGCCCCTTTTGTTCAGCTAAAAGACTATCCAAACACGGAAGTTTATGCTACATTTACTATCGACACCGTGGATTTGGTGTCACCCCGGGATGTTCCAGTCGGTATCGAAGTTGCACACATTAATGATCTTAAATTGAAAAAGTGGCTCCTAAAGCAACACTATAGGCAGCAAACTCAACAAAATCCTCATAGCCAGCCAAAATTATGACAACAAATAAAGGAAGTCATAGTCATAAGGCTAGGCTGGCCCTGGCAGGACACTAAATCAGCTATGATTCATTAATTGGGGAGAATAACCAGATAAATTAGTGATGAATTCCTATCACAATCTGCACGAACTGCCTTTCATGATCCATAACAAACATGCTCCAGCTGTGATGAACTCCTTTACGTTCTGTTTGACAGAACACGAACATGCATAGGATAAGGAAATATAGTCTGGTATTTCACCGAAGTCTAATAACTGAAAGGACGAGATCTTCATGCATAATTCTGTAACATCCAAGTTCATCGAGATTCCCAGTCCTTCAATTTTTTGCTTCCTTTAGGTTTTGCTATAGGTGCGTTCACTGCAGCCATTTTTTCATTATACTTTGCACGAAGTGGATCATTGTAGGTCCACCTGTATTACAATTCAACAGTAACAAGAACATCAGAGCAAAATACTACAGCAGTGAATATACAAGTATAAAATGGTCCTTGCAGTAGTACTAAAGAAACTCCTTTTTCCAGGAGAAGGGGAGGTCTGGAGGTTAGTTGCAAGTTAAGAAAAATAAATTCCTATCATCAGTGCATTAACAAATCCCAAATTCTTGTTAAGGGAGATACATCAGACACAGGTAAGATCCAGAAACCCGATGCAGAAATTTCTTTGACAATGCAGCAAATATTACCTAAATATACTAAAGCCAATTATTCCACGGATGATTGTCAATTATCAATATGTGATGACATGACCGCAAGCCTATCAACCTAGATCCCTAGAATGACAATGCATGATAAAATTCTCATGTGATAAAAAAAAAATTCTCTACAATCCTTTTGTTGTTATAAAATCAAAGTGTGGTAGAATCAGTTTAACAAGATACATCAACATCCATAACATACAGAGTCAGCATTCTGTAGATAATAAAAGTGTAGCATTTCAGATGGTCTCAAGACAGAGAATATAACTTCATCTAGAAATTAATATAGAATCAAAACTTTTAAATGTTATGTTATACTCTCCTAACTTCACACATTACAAGCAAGCAAATGACATAAGTGAAACCCAAAACTACAATGAAAACAGATAAGCATAACTCAGGAGCATGCACTCGTGTCAAGACCTCGCTAAACCATATCAAAACCAAACATGCAACTTTTATACCCACACCACTCCTTTCTTAGAGCAACAGGAAGTACTGGGTTCAATCATCCAAGTAGAACTTAACTCTGACTGTTTCTACAAACATTATCCTAAAGTACATTGACATCAACTCTCTGTTGAGAAATTCTATGAGATTAAAATCACTCATGCCCTCAGATAAACTAATGCAATAGCTAGTTCCCTTCCAAGAGAAACATTAATATGAGATCCACTTGATATTTAGAACAAGGAGTAAGCACAAAAATCCTTCATGTATTTTTTTTATTCAGAAATCAAAGTGAGATCCACTTAGACATTCTGGGTAAAGAGTGGACTAGCACAATTGCCCCACTTAGGCGATCTAAGGATCTGCTATCTTTGCCCCCTTTCAGCTACACAGTACACAATATTACTTTGGGGAGGTATACATTCAAAAGGTGTGAAGGAAGTCACTCAAAAGTGTGGATGCAAGGATTGGAAGGAAAGTACCACCAAACTCTAAGAGAAATATTATCAGGAGTCTAGACAAGACCTGAATTTTATAACGTAAAATTTAAATCCAAAGGAATGTATCATTCTGTTTTGCCATGTCTGTTATTTTTATTGGACTTGATTAATAATACCTTCAGTTCAGAACACACAAAAATATCTTCTAAAGAAAGGTGTTTGAAGGACTATGTTATGCCATTGCCATGGCCAACAAAAAATACAATGCCAGGGACTACACATAGAAGAGCATAGAGGGATTTCAGAAATTTCACCATGAGAAAATGAGTGGCCAATCAAAATACTAGGAATTTCTATAAAAAAAAATTGAATACTGAAATTCAGTATCTTAATTTAGCATTTTAAATACTCTAAAAATCATATTCCTACTTAAATTATCTTATCCAAAAACAGCCAAAGACACTCGGTTCCAGGTGAAAGGAAAACAAGCGTAGGTGTTCACCTGTACTAAGAGAGCCACATATCTTTCAAACAAAAAGCGCTATGAAGAGTTATAGACACTAGCTATTTTGATTTCTTTAAATCCCTATTCATGTAATGTTAATCACCTATCATAGAAGACAAATGATGATAATAATGATGCTTAAGAATACAGTTACCATCATGATCATCATCAATTACAATACTAATATAAAGCAGAATTTTCTAGATCACAAGAGGAAAAGAATAAGAAATCATAAATGAACATTTCACTTTAGACTTGAGCTTCTCGATTTTATTCCAAGTGTGTTGTAAAAGTAATGTCTAAGACCATTTTGGACCAATGCCATAGCAGGTGAACTTCAAAAGTAAATGTTAACAGATATGCAATATATATTTTTTCTTGGGATAAAACAAAAAAAAAATTAATGTCAAATAATAGATCGAACAAG